AACTCTTACATCTGTGTAACTTCCCGAAACAAACAGTAAAATAAACCCTGATGTGTTGATTGAATTTGTATATAAAGATAATCCTTGATTTCCTGTAGAAATCATACGTGTGGTTTCAGTTGTCAGTCCAGGTCACATGACAACTACAATCTTATGGAACGGTTTGCGTATCGGTCAAATCGCTTGACCGATGATGCCATCGCCACTTCCCTGCACGCTGCCCTCACACATCTGGACTCTAACATTCTCAAAAACTATTTTTGCACATATCACTGTTTTCACTTTTTTTTCAATGAGCTCTTTATTTTTTGCATGAATGTTGAATGCACTACTGTTTTTCATAACCTCATCTGTTTTTGCACTGCCATAATCTGCACTGCCATACCTACAGATCCCGTCAATTCTGTATCTGTATGTGCCTTAAGTTCTGTCACTTTATTCTTATTTATCTTATGTCTCACTACCTCATTATAGTTTCTGATTTTAGTTCTGGTTTAGATTTTTACTTCACTTTCATGCACTGTTACATTTTTATACACTGGTTTTCACTTTTATGCACTGTCCATAGTTTAAATACACGGTCCTCTACACTTCTATGCACTGTTTATAGTTTTACACATGGTTACAGTACAGTCCGATTCCACAATTTGGTGTTTATTGTTTTATTATTATTGTTGTTTATTCAATGTTTACTTTAACACCACAGGTTTGAGAGTCTCGCAGTTTCAATACTACATATGTCCTGTACATTTGAAGAATTGACAATAAAGCAAATTTTTAACTTCTTTGAACTTCTTTGAACTCCTTTGAACAGATCAGAGCCAATTTACTGATCTTAAAAGAGTGACATCTCTGATTGGAACCACAGAAACGACAATTGCATGTCAATGACAGACACACGAGAAACATCTCTCCTGCGACTTCCATTGATCACCTCTTACGACCGTGAAAAGACAACAGCTACGCGAGTAATGGCTTCTCCAAACCATCGTACAATGCAACAGGCCCTCCATGAAGCCCTCCTGGTTTCGAAGGAGGAGAACTGGGAGCTGGAGTCTGAAAACCTTGCCCAGGTGGATGAAAATGCCCCCCTGGAGGAGCGGATCACCACCACCAACCTCCCCTGTGAACTAAAGAGAAAGATAATGGAGCAGATGATGTCTTCTGCCTCACTTCTGTTGAAGTCCAGTAGGGACTTGACCACCTTGATTCAACATGTGGAGTCTGCAAAGGCCAGAGAGAAGGAGCTGGAGAAGAAGCTCA